CTTTAAGCTCCTTAAGAAGAGAGACATGGTTTTCCTCCTTTTTGAATTATGTTTGCCATCTCCCCTAACAACACCGCTGGACACAGTGCTTTACATGGTTTGTTGAATGAAGAATAAATGGAGGCCTTGTGACGTATGATTACATACAATCTGCAGTTTCAATACTCTGGTGTTTTTTATCCATTTTCCTCTAGAAGTAATGGTTCTGCTCTTATAACAATCTATTGCTCTAACCTAAAATCTATCACATATAATTAATCCCAACAGTTTGCTTTGCTAATGGGGGTGGGGGAAAAGAGAGAGAGAGACCGCACTTTAGAAATAGAAGCCACTGTTGTCTTTATAAAACACAGAATTGTGCTGCTGCTGTTGCTTGCTTTAGAAGGAACTGTACATTACAGCTGCTGGGATAATTTTACAATGGACTGGACAAGGTACAGCTCAAAGCAGGACACAAACACAAGTCTCAAAGGGAAACAAATGCAAACAAGTACACAGCTGTGGGGCTTCAGGGACATTTCCCCATCCATGCTGGACTTGAGAGGGATAAAAAGTTTAGAAACTAAAGTGAAACCCAGAGTAGTCACACATGCCCACCAGATGGCTGCTAAGTGCAACATCACACACCAATCAGGTTGGACTGTGCACAGGAAAGTCATTTCATTATTCCTTATTGCTACTACACCAGGGGACTCAGTGCATTCGACACATTGTCTTTACTTGCACAATCCTTGGAGAGTTTCCTATTTTCCTTTTTAAAGAAGGAACTTTGCCCTCCCCACCTTATTCTGTTTTGTTTTGAGCCCATTACCTCCACTCCCTTTCTTAGGCTCCCAAACAGCAGCCGGAGGTTCTAAGTCAGTAGGAATAGAGTAAGGGGAGAGCACCAACCTAGCCTCTCTCCCTGCCCAGGGAGAAGGCAAGTCCTAATAAAAGGGGGGGGGGGGGGGGGGGGGGGGAGGGAAGAGAAAACCAGAGAATCCCTTCTCCCCAATCTGCTTAGAAGGCTAAATAGGAAAGAGTGCCCTGCATATCCCTGCCATGATCAGACTTTAAGAAGGAAGGCATCCCAGCTACCATCCTAGATTGGCCTAGGCGCAGTAAATATAAAAAATAACTTCCCCCAATGTAGTTTCCAAAACTGCATTTTGGCTAGTTTGAGAGGACTTTCCACCCTGAAAGGGAAGGAACTTTCCATTCTTCTTTGTTACACATGATGCCAGGTTTAAAACACTGCCTCGCCAGCCTTGTAGACAGATAACCCATGGGCCAGCTAAGACGTCAAAATGTCCCCTTGGCTGCCCATCCTGAGTGTCAGCCTCATTTACTGAATTCTGGACAAAAAAAGAAAAAAGAAAAACACCCCAAACTATCCAAGAACATTGTTGTTGAGCCAAACAGGAGGCCACAGAGGAGCTATCTAGTACATGGGAACCAGGAGCTTTTTAGGGAGGTTTCACGCTTTTAGATACTTTCTTCTTCAACATTATTCTAAGCCTAAGTTCCCAAGAACAACAACAGCTCCAGGCTTATCCTGAGTTCAGCAGTAGCACCTCAACCCCCAATGGGTCAGACTGGACTAGAAAAATGATCAACGAACAGTGCTCTTTCCCATCTTTTATCCAAATTCTCTCCATTCTCTTCCCATCACTCTCTTCTTCCCCTATGTCCATCCCCCTAACCCTCCAACCCTGGAAACCAAGTAGCTCAACTCTAGGATGTCTTCAGAAAAGGGAGGTCCCATGTAGAGAGAAATGGAACCAGATCCAGAAAAAGCAATGAGAGAAACCTACTCCAAGGAGTGGACACGTGTGGAAGTTATCAGAAGCCCCCTGATTTCATGCCAGGTAGGCATGCCTGCTGAGTAACTTTGATGGCAGTCCAGCCCAGAGAGGACATTACTGGGCTTGGGGAACAGATTCTTGGTCGTCTGTAGCCAAGAAGCTAAGCCTGACTGTGCTAGCTAACAGTGGGATTATCGTAGCCATGCAGAGAATTCATCATCACATAGGCAGGCAGGCCAGCAAACAAGCTTAGTGAATTGAAAAAGGGAAAAGGATCCCAAGGAAAGAGAAAAGTAGAAAAGAGAGGCAAAAGAGTAAAACGAAGGGAGCAAGAGACCTGTCCAAGAGGATGAGGCTGGGGTCCCCCAACACTTCCTCAGAGCACAAGTAAGAAGCACCACTTAAACCAAATCCAAGAAAGCCAAAGCTTGTTGCTAACACCACTTCTCAATCTGCATGCACCATCTTTCAAACAAGAATAATCATCAAGGTCAAAGTATTTTTCAAGTCTCAAAGATTAAAAAAAAAAAAAAAATTCAGAGCAAGAGGTTATTTTCTTGCCATCGCCCAAATTGCTTCTCTTGCTTTTTTATTTCTTGAACAGCATGTGCAATGCCAAAGGGCTAAAAATGCATTGCAAGCCCCAGCTCAAAACCCAAATGGAGAGAGTGAGGCAAAGAGAGAAAAAGGAGAGAACATAAACTTGTTGCTGAGAGTAGGTGGCTACCACCAGCTCCCTATGGATATTTGCAAATGCTGGTGAATGACTGGACCCTCCAGGAACAGTGCCCTGATCCCAGCCCCAAAATGCACCCAAGAAGAGAACATGCAGAGCCCACTGTCCCAAGAGAGCTCCCCTCCCCAAAGGGTGACTGAACACGAAGTAGACAGTATATGAAGGCGATGGACAGGGCAGATGGAGTGTTGGCATCACTCTCTTTAGGCACTTGTGTAAGGAATGTAGGCTCTCCAGTGAGCTGCCTCCTCCCAGAGCCCTCCATTCTGTTCTTCAGCTGGGCTGTGCCCATGGGGCATCCCATACTGTAGCCAGTAGGAAAGAAGTAAAGGAGGAGTTACTCAACAGTCCTGATGCCTTCTCCATAATCAATGTTTGTGCTACGTTTTGTGAAGTTGCTGAACAAAGTAGCCAACCAGAACAGAACCTGGGATAGACTGTTTTGCATAGCAAATCTGGGTCTGTACAAGGGCTGCTGGGGAAGGGAAATGGTAGCTCTAAGCGCACAGGCCTGGATCCAGACCAGCCTCCAAGCCTGAGCTAGGTCTAAAGTGTCATGGCTTCATCACCAGATTGGGGTAAACCCAAACTCAGGCTCCTTAAAGAGGAACTTCCACACTGAAGCTGCAACTCCTCATCCCAAGCAGTGGGACAGGAAAAAATTAACAGTTAAGGAAAGAGGGGGCCTTGCCTCAAGGCCAGTAGGCACCAAGCTAGAAACCCCCTACTTTTCCAGTTCTGCAAGACAGCCAAACCCAACCTCTATCCAGGGAGACAAAAAACAAAAAACAAAACAAAACAAAGGCCCACGCCACCCACTCACATGCCCTAGTGGGAAACCGGGAAAAATTCATTTGTGTAAACAGAAGCAATAGGGAGCAGCAAAATCCCCCAGCCTGTCCACAGGACACACTGGAATCTGTGATGACCCAAAGTGTCAGAGGACCAGAGAAAGGAAAGATGCAACTTGCAGGAAAGAGTGCAGGGCAGTGCAGAAGAGGGAGCCTATAGCAAGAAAAAGATATTATCTGCACAGGGGAAGGATGGAGCCTGAGCCCCACCTTAGGGAGATAACCATCCCCTACCTAGCCAGGCCAAAGAACAAGTCAGGTACATAGTTCCTTCTGATGGCTCAATGTTTCTGGGATGTAAACTTATTGGGCATGGGAGGGATTTCCAGATTTTGGCAATAGACTCAAGTTATGGTATAAAAATAACATTTAGTTTTTTGCTCTTTTTTTCTTATTTTAGACCTAAAGATCATTTGTTATAAGACACCCCAGTTGAGAAATATTGAAACATAAGCAACTTGACCATCAGGGGAAAAAAGAAGCCAAGAGTGAGAAATGCTATGAAAGTAACTCCAGATCCAGGCAGGTGGGGAAACCGGGGGGACAGGAAGAACAGGAGGTGTAAATGGAAAGGCCAGGGGCCAGTCATCTCAGCAGCTCCAAGACTTGTCATGTCTGAAAGTGCAAATGTCAATGGATTTTAACCATCTTGAGGTTGTGGTCTTTTTAAAAGCTTAATGAATATGGAAGTCAATTCCTTCGAATGCAAAATAGCTGGCGCTCTGGTTGGAGGCTTGTTGGGTTAGGGGTATTTCTTCCCCACCTACCTCCTCTCCCACCCCCACCCTATCCCCCCCAAAGAAAGGTACAAAAGGTTGCAGTTCTGCAGCATTACCGTTACAGGGAAGGCACTGGTTACCCACCAGTAGGCGGAAGGAAGACAGGGTCGTGTCACTTCAGAGCTAAGTGCCATAGTGCCTTAAGTCTTACTAGGGGCTGGATGTCTGTCAGGGAGGAGGTGTAAGGTGGGGTAGAAAAAGTGGAGAGAAAGGAATAATGGAAAGGGGGTGGCAGCTGGGGGAGGAGCAACCAAAACCATTAGCATTAAAAATCTTCCTACAAACTGGATTTTCAACCCATTAAAACATCTAGTATTCTAAAATATTGATCTGGGTCTGGTTTCGTTTTTCCTCTTAAACAAATCTAGACCTTTTCTGATTAAGGCTCCTAAAAAATCCTTCCCTCCTCCCACCCACTTTTTTAAGCCCCTCACTCTCCCATCTAAAGTATCAAACCCAAACCTACCAGCTTTTGTCCGCGGGGCTGCAGAGCCGACCTTACCAAGCTGTCAGGCATGAGTCTTTAGCACTGTGAGTCACAAGAGACACCTGTGTGTATGGCGGGCACCAGTGCTGCCCCTCTTGGTCCAGTGGGGTCAGGGCCAGATGTGACAAGATGGGTGAGGGGTGGGGGTCATGAGGTGGACATCAGAAATTTCTGGCTGGTGGTCTGGCTTACTGGCCCTGTCCCCCACCCTTTCGCCCCCTTCGTAGAAAGAAGGAAACAAGGCCTTCTGAGCTCCTCCCTACCCTCCCTCCTCCTCCTCCTCGCTTCCTCTGGATTTGGGCGGCACAGCTCTTGGGGCTTGGAAAGCTTTCTTCTATCCAGTGAGGTAACAGCGTTCTGCCTTCAAGCGAAGTACATGGTGCGCAGAGTATCCTGGTGAACCTGCACGGCTTTGGCCAGGGCCTGGGGGTCCCGCCCATTGCTCTGCCCCGATATGTGGCTCCCCTCTCCACTGAAAAGCAAAAATGAAACAAGTCCTTCCTGGTGCACTGAGCTACTGCTAATCCATTCCCCCAGGTACCAATTCCCATACCACCTTATGAGAAAACCCCAACCCAGATCTGGGCAGAAGAGCCCAAGGACGTCAAATTGTACAATATTCGTTTCCTTCTGCCCAAGGAATGTTGAGAGGGTCTGGTACCCGAGGCTGAAGCAAATGGGAAGCCAGCTTGATCCCAGGCCTCACCTGTCATGCTCCTTGTCCACTAGGTGGTATCGTGCCCGGAAAGCCACCAGTCGGGCATAGTAGGCAGGTGCTGGGATAGAGACGGAGCGTGTGCATCGTACATAAGTGTGGCACAGCTGGTATGTCAAGATCTGGAGCTCGTCCGCTGTGAAACGGTTGTCATCCCAAAGGACATAGTAATGGGATGGTCGGCTGGTACCCTGGGAAGATAGGAAGGTGAGGGGCCCCAGACTGGGCAGAGGGGAGAGCCAATGCTAAGGAACAGGATCACTGTTACAAGTGTAGTTGGGTTGGAAGATCCACTCAGGAATAGGCAGACACAAAGCCACCTATGTCATAAAATACCCTTGTTATGGGCAACCTGCCTAAGACATTCAAAACGTACTTCTGTTCAAGTATGCTAAAGGCTTATTAAGAGAATAATCCTGTTCTGAATGCCACTCAGTGATGACTGATATATTCTACAGGCAGTGGGAACAATCAATTCATCTTTGACCCACTGGAAACCCCAGGACATAGCCCGACTACCTGGATGCCTGCGTGGCTGCAAAGATAGAAGTCAAACTCAAATGGGTGGGTGATGTTGGTGTCCACAGTTGTCCCAGCTGGGATGTTACCACTCTTCCCAATCTGTACAGAGAAAAGACAACCAAGATCCCAAGATCTGCTTGGCCCTAAGAAGGGTTCTGACTCAATCCTACTCTGATTCCACCAAAATCTCTGTTCCCAGAGGGTACTAGATCTTAAAATAATGGACTTCTCCTGTCACACAGACCTGTGGTTAAGTGCTGGTTTCACCATTTATAAGCTGTGTGATCTCAGCAAGTCATTTAACTTTTCTGAGGTTAAACTCCAGCTAATAATGGTACCTAACTCACAGGGCTGCTGTGAGGAAGACACCTTTGTGCAATGTCTGGCATATAGGACAAGTTCAATGAATGGTAGTTCCCTTTCCTTTCTCTGGGAGCTGGTCTATATAGGGTCTATAAGCCAGAAAGCTAGAAAGAGGAAGAGAAAGTATAAGGGAAGGAGGGGAGAAAGAGAGAAAAAAGGGAAGAAAGTGGCAGAGGAAGGACACGAGCCCTAGGGGGAAAGGGCCAGGCAGGATAGACAGACCAAGGACTAAATCCCCAGATTTATCTCAAGGCCTTCTTCCACATTAAGAGAAGGGAGACAGGACAAAGGTATGGATGGTTTCCTCAATTTCTCACTCACTCGCTCATTCTTGTCAGCACAAAAAAGGCGGGTGTGATGGCGTTTCTGCACCACAATATAAGTGATCCCAGGCTGGTAGTCCTTTTCCAGTTTGATGCAGGCATCACGAATGGCCAGGAGCTCATAGTGGAGGATCTAGGCACAGGGTAAGGAGAGAGACAAAGAGACATACAGCTCCTCTTAAGTCACATTTTTCTGAACTAAGTGGTTGCCATTTGTAATATGGCTTTTTGCTCAGCTTCCCTTTATAAGCTAACACCCAACCATTAGTAAGGACAGCCTCTTCCTGCCAAAATCAGCCTTATCCTCAGTTCACCTGATATGCTGCTATAAAGCCTTGGCTGGGAGGCTTGGTATCAGCAGAGAATACTCACCTGGTTCCTATGCATAAAGAGACCTAATGTCAAGACACAGAAACAAAGTACACAAACATCACTATAATCACAATGCCCAAAGTAAGGTAAATTTCAGGTTTAGAAGGATAAAAGGAATTCCCCTGTGAGCTCCAAGAACGGAGCTGAGACCATCAGAGAAGAGCAGACACACAGTTCAGGAATTGGTACAGATGTAGTAGATGAATTCAGTCCTACAAAGAAGAAAATGGACTAGCTAAAGAAGGTAAACAACCATATGCAATAGTTGCCTTGTGGCCTTAGATGTCAGATATAGGGGGTCAAAACTATATGGCAGAAATGGATACAATGGAAATCAATTAGAAATAGGTTTAAACCCAAGCTTTATCTGGCTGTATTCCTGTGAGCAAGCTACTTAACTCTTCTAAGTCTCATTTTCTCCACATCTACTAAAGTTACTAGTAAGATCAGCCTCACAAAACCATTGCAAAGCGTAAAACAGATTAACTAAGTAAAAGCATAGAAAACCTAGTAGGGGGCACCTGGGTGGCTAAGTTGGTTAAGCATCCGACTTCAGCTCAGGTCATGATCCCATCCGTGGTTCTTGAGTTCGAGCCCCACATCGGGCTCCATGCTGACAGTGCAGAGCCTACTTGGGATTCTCTCTCTTTCTGCCCTTCCCCGACTTGCATGCACTCTCTCTCTGTCTCAAAATAAATAAACTTAGGGGAAAAAAAGCTTTAAAAAAAGAAAATCTAGTAGGGGCTTCATAACTGCTGATTGCTTTACTAAGCAGTTTGAATTTTAACCCAAGGCTAGGTGAAGCCACTAGATGTTCCTGAACAGAGAAATGATAGGAAAAATTTGTCTGCTATTTTAGGGAACACTGGATGACTTAGAGAAAATTGAGCATAATAGTTAAGAGCATAGACTCTGGAATCAAGGACCAATTTGTCTGAATTCCAGTTCCATCACTGTTTAGCTTGGCTGACATTGAAGAAATTATTTAACATTTCCGAGCCTCAAGTTTCATCTGTCAAATGGGATAATAATTATTCTTATTTCATAGAATTATTCTAGACATTAAACAGAACACATATGAAGTGCTTACTACAATTCATAGTATGTAAGTGGTACCCAATAAATGACAGTTGTATTACTATTAAACGGTAGTCAAGGAGACCAGTTCATTATACTACTCTAAACAAGAGAATATGAAGGCTTGACAGGGAGAAATAGAAGGAACATTATGAAGGTCAACAGCAGTGGTTGTCAAAGTGTGGCCTCTAGACCAGCAGCATCGCCTACCTAGGAATTTGTCAGAACTACAAATTCTAGGAACCATCCTAGACTCACTGAATAGGAAATTCTTAGAGCCCTGCAAACTACTGCAACAAGCCCTTCAGGTGATCTTCACGCATGCTAAAGTTCTGAGAACTACCAGTCTAAAGAATCAGACTTCAACATGAACCAACTAGTATACAGGCACTGAGGGTCTTCTGTTAAAAGAAAGGTCTATAGATGCTTGTACATACCACCTCTCAGTTGTGATCTCTGCTCCCAAGCCTATTGCCAATAAGCAAAGCTCTCAAAGAAGTAGCCCCTCCTGATGCCAATAGCCTAAAAAACACACCAGTACTCTCTGCACCCATTAGGCCCTCTGGCCCCAACATGAAGGTTTTCACCACCTACTTTGGACCCTACCTGGGGGAGCTGGCCTTCAGGGACCCCATCTCGATAGAAGATAATGCGGGTAGGCTTGAAACGGGTGGACTTGTAGAACTGGATGAGCAGCTCACGCACCATGTAGGATAAGTCTTCAATGATCTCTTGCCGGGGTCGCTGCACCCGCACAGTAGCACAGTAACGGCTGGGGTGGGCGTCCATACTGCCTACCACCTAACAATCAAAGAGGCAGGATCAGCTCCCAGAACCTCCACTCTCCCAATACTGTCAGGACATAGATTTGGAGAAATGTTCTTAGCAAAAAAAAAAAAAAAACAAAAAAAAACAAAACTATGCAATCAAATTGTAGGTTTTGGATTCAATGAGTCCTGATTTCAATCTCCATCTGATCTTTTTCCTCCTCTCGAATGGAGATAAGAATGCTACCTGCTTACAGTGTTACTGTGGTACATATAAAACACCTTGCATAGAACCCACAGTAAGTACTTGATTAGTTCAGTTCTTACCCCTTGCAGGGGAGCATGTGAAGGCACTACTAGCTCAAAGAGTGGCCTCAATGAGCCATAAGTTTGTCCTTTTCTCAATTCAAGTGTGAATCTACCCAGGAACTGTGGTGAAGAGTGTTCTTGCAGGAGGTACAAACAATATCATTTTCAAAGTGGGTAGGGGCCAGAGCCTAGGATGGATGACCACAAGGAAAACAACGATAAGCACATTATAGGATTTCCCTGCATTTACTGAGATTATCCCAATCTGCCTAGAGAAACTTGAGAGTTGAGGAAAGAGAAGTGGGAAGGTAAGCCTGATCCCTCTAGCAATTTGTAATTCCCTGCTCCAGGGACAGGGAGCAAAGAAGTCGGGAGAGGGACTAGAAAACCATCTAATCTATTAGATGGATCAGGGGTAGGGATGGGAAAGAGGAAAGGACAATCCCAGCAACTAAGTAACCACCTTAAAAAGGATCTCAGAGAAGAGACATGGTCTTTCCCATATCCCCAAAGTGGGCATGGAGAGAGAGAGAAATTTGAACACAGAGCAAGAGTGATGTAGACTAGGCAAAGTCTCTGGCCACCACCTACACTCCCACTGCTTTCTCTGAAAAACAGATACCATACAGAGTTAGTTTTATGAAGATACCAAGGGAGTGGTTAATGGGGATGATCAGCTGAAAAAAAGTTCTTCTGAAGGGTCAAGCATAAGAGCTGAGGGAAGGAGATTATATGTAGTCTTCAGAGCTAAGATGAGAACCTTAAGAAGAAGCTGGAGAGTATCACTCACTGCTGTGATAGAAGGTTTTTTCCCATCCCCTGCTGGGGGGTGTGTAACATCTGCTCCCAGGAATATCACTGGCTGTTGAAAGACGGCAGAGCTAAACAAAGAAGAGAAAACAAACAGTGAGGAGTTGAGTCTTCTCCTGGCACCATCTAGCACTCATTTTGGTCACCTCTCCTTTGTGTCTGATTGATTCTCCCTGGCCAGGGTCCTATCTCTTTGTCAGTCCCCACCATGATACCTTGCTTGGCAAGGCAAGTGGGCAATAGAGTTCATACCGCTGGTGTGGGACTAGGATGTTGTTAATGCCACCAAGTTTGACATTGATCTTCAGGCAGAGGTTGGACAGGGTCTGAGGCGAGGTCTTGACCACATTCTTCACTTGCACACACTGTGTAGCCATTCCCAAGAGTGTATCTCCAACACGTTTCACTTCAGCTATGAGCAGGGAGAGAAGTGATTAGTGCATTCAACAAATATTTACTGAATGCTGATTAGATGTCAGGCAGTATATGAGGTGGTAGGAACACAATGATAACCAGAAACACATAGGGTCACTAATCAGAGGTTACTTTCTAGTGACTCATCTTAAGTCATGAAAAGTAAAATGATCAATGCTACAACAGAAAACTTCATGAAGCTATGAGAGCATTTAATAGCAGGCAATAACCCAGTCAGGAAAGGATTAAGTAAGTAATGATTGAAATGAAACCTAAAGATAGAAAAGGACTTAGAAGAGAGGCAGAGTGGGGCACCTGGGTGGCTCAGTTGGTTAAGTGTCCGACTTCAGCACAGATCATGATCTCGTGGTTTGAGCCCTATGTCAGGCTCTGTGCTGACAGCTTGGAGCTTGAAGCCTGCTTTGGATTCTATGTCTCCCTCTCTCTCTGCCCCTCCCCACTAGCACTCTGTCTCTCTCTCTCTCTCAAAAATGAACATTAAAAATTAAAAACAAAAAACAAAAAGAGAGAGAGGCAGAGTTGGGAGAGAACATTCCAGGCAGAGGCAACATCATCCAAAAATTCACTCTAAGAGATATGTTTGAGAAATTGAAAGGCCAACGAAACTAAAAAGGAGACCAAACGAACCATGGTGTAAGAGAAAGAATGTGGTCATTAGACTGATCTAGCAAGAAATGAGGGTAGCGTGTACTAAGACAGTTGCTTAGATGGAAAGAAACCGATTTCAAGAGATATTTAAGGGACTCAGTGATGATATATGTGAGCAAGGAAAAAGAATTTTTATGGACAACTTCAAGTTTCTAGCTTTTGTAATAATTTTGAGATAGTTTGAGTTTGAAGTGCTTTTGGTCATCCCAGTGGTATCAACTAGACAAATGAGAATAATAGTTGAAAGCTCAACAGTCTGAAAGGAGATGCAAATTTGTCAGCTGTTCAGGTACAGGCAGTAATTGAAGGCATGATCTTGATGCGATCATCAAGGAAGAGAACAGATGAAAAGAGGGCTTAGACCTGAATCTTGAGGAACTCTCAATATTTGCAGAACGTTTAAGAAGATGAGTCTGCAAAGGAGAAGCATACAGAGAACTAGGAGGAACACAGTGTTGTATCATGAATGCCAAGGGGAGAGAGTATTTCAAAAAGGAGCAAGTGTTCAACAAAGTCAATGCTACTAAAGATCAAGTAAAATAAGGACCAGAAACGTCCTTTGGATTGACATTGGTAATGCATAAAGGCAAAAACTATTTAGGTGTTACAAAGTACCAAGGAGGAGATGTGGGACCAATGAAGGATTTAGCGTGTTTTCAATGAGAGAGACTGAGCATGTTTAAAAAGCTAAAATGATCATTTACTGTTAAGAGAGATGGAGTAGGTAGTGGCAAACCAGTGCTTCTGCAGAGAACATTCAGAAAAGCCAGACAAAATACAGAAAACCTCTTCTGAAGGCAGCAGAGAGGTGCTCAGACAAGAAGTGAAGGGCAAAAACTCCAGAGAGGAACAGAATCTCACCAAGGTGAGCTGTCTTCTGCAACTGCTTTTACCCTGGGTACATTTGCTGATTCTAGGTATGGACAGGAGGCTGAGATTCTAGGCTTTGCACCAGCAGAGGAACCACTGCCAAGAGATGAAGAAAGCAAGAGTTTCTGAAGGAGATAGACCAGTTCTATATGTGAAAAGTTAAAATCATATATATATATATATATATAT